GGGGGAGAGTTGACTTGTGGTGAATGATGGTTGGGCTGTGGTGGATGAGAATTGGCTTGCGCTGGAGGAAAGCCTCGATTAGGATGTTGATGATATTGGCGTTTATAATAATTTTCAATTGGTGATTCGCAATTATTATTCGGAAGGCCGCGGGTTGTCGCGACTAGAAGCGCGATAATTATGACGAAAGCAAAACTAATGAATTTTGACATCGTATATTTCGTTAAAAACGTCAAAAATAATAAAGCAATTGTGAGTTTGTTTTTTTTTTTGGTTGGGTGAAATTTCTATGGGTGCAATTTATAAAGCTCGAATTCCTATCTTGTTTTCCAAGACCCTTCAATTATGCGAAATTCATAATTTGATATCATAAATGCTTTAAATCATGATGGTTTAAATACTATGAAGATGCATAAATTTAATGTAATTAATATATAGCGTTATTAAATTATGGCATTTTCATTAAATCAGTCGTCGGACATTTACCGATTTATCGTACGTCGGAAAATAAAGGATTCGGTCTAAATTAAGCAATTCGAAAAAAAAAAAAAAGGAATCACGAGAATGTGACAATTATGACTCTTATTCATGGCATTTATAGTCATTAATTGTCGGGAATCGGGGGAAATATAATCCAAACTATATTTGAATATAAATAGTCCGCAATGCCGCAATCCTATGCGTAAAAAAAAAAAAGATTTTCTCCATTAACCACCTTCACAAATTGCTTACAAGATGAACGTCGAAGGGGCGACGATTAGCGATGAATTGCCCTACCAAGAAACTCGTGATATCGTTTTGCCAAACCAGACCGTATATGCACCCCAAATAGCAGTTGATGTATGCTTTTTCGCAGAATTTGAATGAGATTTCTTTATAACTTGATTAAATATAGGAGAATTTTTATGCGCAACAGATCGGTGGTTCCCTGGCCAAGGTCGTTTATTTTTCGAGGAAGCCAGATTCATCAAAGGGAGGTCGCTTGAACTTCACAAAATTTGAAACAGAAAGGATAGATGAATGTATAGATTTCATAGAAAATCTCGTGTCAAGTAGACACTCGCAAGTTCCTAAATTGCGGGAAAAAATTGTCGTAAAGGCCACTGGTGGTGGGGCCCACAAATATTTTGATAAGTTTACCGAGAAATTGAAAAATGTGACGATAGAGAAGGAAGACGAGATGGAATGTCTGATAACCGGTAAAGTAGATTGCAGTATTTTGGAACTATCGACCATTTTCTCATAAATCCTAATGTAAATATTTTTTCAGGCTTAAACTTTTTAATTGCGGAAATTCCTTATGAAGTTTTCACTTATAGTGAAAATGATCCTATGTGTTTCGAAGATACTCTGTCATCAAATATGTTTCCGTGTATAGTAAGTCGTTTTGTTTTTGTTTGTTTTTTTTTTCATTGTTTCAATTGACATTGAAATTTTTAATTGTTCCAATTCACAGTTGGTTAACATCGGCTCCGGCGTCAGGTGTGAGAATGAAAAGAATTGAATCATTTGCTTGACCCAAGGAATCACCTATTAAAAATTTTTCTTGTCCTTTCAATAGCATATTGAAAGTGACTAGCCCAGACAAATTTGAACGTATTTCTGGTACTTCGGTAAGTAGCTCTTGTTGACGATTCCATTGTGGGATCGTCATCCCGTCTATCGAGGAGTTGGATCCAATTTTCATCTTATACCACACCTTCCAAATAGCTAGGAGGAGGTACCTTATGGGGCCTTTTGTCGTTATTAACAGGGGCAAGATCATTTGACGGTAAATACGCCAGACAGGCATTTTCCACTTTATCGATCAACGAGTCACTCAATTTGATGTCTGCGTTTCAGAAATGTTGGAGATGAGCCAACGCGGCGACAATACGAACGTGGTAGGTCGACACATTTTATTATCATAACTTAATACAGTTATTCAATGAATGAATCATACAAATCCTATCCATAGGACATGTTGGTTGGTGACATCTACGGATCCGATTACAACAAGATCGGATTAAAGTCTACCACAATTGCTTCTTCTATGGGAAAGGTTTTTAAAAAGAATGAGAGACAGGATGTGGGTAAATTCCGTGGTGAGGATATTTCAAAGTCATTATTATTTATGGTTAGGTGAGGTTATAACCCATTCTCATGCGCTTATTTTTGATAACAACGACTTGGAAATCTAACCGACCTTAGTGAACGTGTAGCAATAACATCGGTCAGATCGCGTACTTGAATGCTCAAGCCCACGAGATAAAAAAAATTTACTTTGGTGGTTGTTTCATTAGGGGTAAATTTCATTTTTTTTTTTTTTTCTATGCTTAATCTCTTTATTCGTCAACCGATAATGCTCGATTTTGTCATTCCGCAGGACACCCGATCACGATGAACTGTTTATCTTATGCCATTAATTATTGGTCTCAGGGTGCAATCAAAGCTCTCTTTCTTCGTCACGAAGGATATCTTGGTGCTGTTGGCGCTTTCCTTAAGCACAGGACCCGACATCGTGCGTGCTCTTTCTCCGAGATTCTCACCTTTCCTCAAATGATTACAGAGGGTTCTGTCAATGCATATGGGATTTTAGAAAGTACACCGACAAAGTTAGTAGTATTCCCAAAGCTACATGACCTGACCAATTACAATCCAGACACTGCAATGTTGACAGATTCGGTCTCTCAACATTATTGGATTGATGTATTGGAGGATAACCTTCAGAGTCTTGTTGAACTTGCCATAAAGTGGAATTCCAACGGTGACGATCAGAAACAGGATGTTCAAACCCGCGCCTCAACCTTTGATACTTTATTCCGAAGTCATCTTACGCGGTTGCGGGATCATCCAACAATGTATGGTGCGCTGACCATTCGGAACTTGTTAAACCTTAGAGAACAATGTTTGCACGAAATAGGATTTCCCGATATCTTTGCCAAGGTCAAGGCGGGAGAAAATAAAACTGCTTTGCGGGATTTAAAGGATTTGTTGGAAAAAGTGGATTCCGTTCAGGATGTGGAAGGCAAGATTGAATTCTTAATAGACAACATGTTGGCAGGTAACATGTTTGATTGGGGATCGAGTCAAACATTGGAAATGCTCAGGAAAGGTGAACTCACCTTCGAAGCGGCCAGGAAGAAAATAAGAAAACCGGAGCATTTGAACAAATTACGACTATTCACCGAACGTATAACAAGTAGGGCAAAGCCAAAGCTTAAAAAAGCTGTTATATTTGTCGATAATTCTGGAGCGGATATCGTGTTGGGTGTAATCCCTTTTGCCAGATTTTTAATTTCCATGGACATGGATGTCATCCTTGCTGCCAACAGCTTCCCCGCTGTAAATGATGTCACAGTAAGTATCCTTTATTACACTATTTAATGACGTTAATTAACTTTCAAATTAATAGTGTTGCATCTATTTTTGAGTTTGACGAATTGTTGGAAATCATGACAGAGGTTTCCGAGATGGATACGTTGTTGGGAATCGCATGGACAAACAAGAAACTTTCAGTCATGGCGACTGGGAGCTCGAGTCCCTGTTTGGATCTGAGAAGGATAAACGATGATCTTGCCGAGGCATGCAAAGACGTTGATTTCGTTTTGCTAGAGGTTTGCTTCAACGCTATGAATGCTAGTTTTACTCCTTTGTCACGTTAAAGAACAGGATTCATCCTTATTATTATTTATTTAGGGTATGGGCAGAGCAATCCATACAAACTATAATGCAAGGTTTTCGTGCGATTCCCTCAAAATTGCGGTATTCAAAAGTACCGCCACCGCTTTGGAGTTTGGTGTTCGTCTACATGACGCAATGATACTATACGAGGAGGGGAGTTGATTGTTTTCTTTGCCGCGAAATGAAATTACATCATCACATTCATTTCTCATCTTACTGAAAAAAGGTATTAATCGCCTAGATTGATCTCTTCATGTTCTTTTAAAGAATTTATTTTATTTTTTTTTTTTACGTGTGTACAATTTTTTTTTAAAAAAAAAATAAAATGCACGGTTAAAGAAAAATCACAGCATTCATGGAGACAAGTACACATAAAAACCTTGCTTTTTTTTTTCAATTGACTCTTTCGTACATCATTCTGCTTGCTCAATTATTAAAGGTCATCAGACCAACAAATGGTCACAGATCATGACGCTACTGAAAAGAAAAATAATAACGACGATGACAATGAATACTCGAACGCTGCTCCTAGAGCAAAATTTTATCCAATCCTACTAAATTATTGCTGTGTCCTGATCTCCGGATGTTGTAGCAATAAAATTCACCGCTCATATATGTCAGGTAGAGATGGCAAGAACATGATTGCGGGGCCAATCCTCTAATAAAATTTTTCACAACAAACATCCCTATTGTTCACACAAGATATCTATCAGAATTTATTCGGAAGAAGTGGCGCCGTCGAATAATAAAGTATTTATTACCTAGTAACGGAGCATTCGGTAAGGGGTCCAAAGGTAGATATTTTTCAGGATAGAGAAAGTAATTCTCTTGACCTGCCGAGTTGCACTTTCTAAAGGACACAATTGTGAAGATTATCTCTCTCTCGTGGCATAGAGAGCTGAATAATCTTTGTTATCATTGTTACTTACTTGAGTATTCTAATCAATGCAACTTTTCCTTTCTGACTAGCAACTATCGCGAGCGAAAGCTCCGGTATATACTGTTTACCAAATATCATTAATATCATACTACCATCATCATCAGGAATCGCGTTATCAATTATACTTGCCTCAACCATATTTAAACGGTCATGGCCAGCTAATACGAAGCCACGCCTAGGATCTCTAGTAACGCCCCGTTTACAATCAAGAGTTCGCAATTCGGACTTTGGGTCAAGCAGGTATAAATCGTATTGCGTGCTAAAGAGAATGAGCTCTTCTGTATGATGTTTGATCTGCTGGCGGCGTTTTGAATCACGAGAGCTCGCATTAAGATTCTTAGAGTTCGTAGATTGGAGTGGAGGGAAGTGATCAATTGTGAAAAGGACCGGTTCATCGGTAGTCTCATCATCAGGTAACTCTGATCCTCGAAAATTGGAACTCCTCCTTAACCTTGAAGACATTTGAAGTTGCGAAACATCAACACGCCGTCGGCGTTCGGATAATTGGGGTACGTGTGGCGGTGGCAGTCGAGTCCTTGAAAAGGGTGGATATACGTGTAATAGACTTTCGATGGCGTTATCCGGGCTCCTTTGTGAATGTGGCGAGGACTGCTCCCGAGAGCCCGATGAATAGAGGTTTGGTGAGTTCGAACGGTATCCTGGTTCATTTGTGCCACCAACAGTTAAGCTTGACGTCACGGTATCGCTTGGTAACTCATCGTTATCATTTGGTGGCCTTGGACCATGGGTTGAGGTTGGCGAAGAAAAGGTTGGAGAGTGCGAAGAGTGCGGCAGTGAATTTGGAGACAATAACGGTGAATGCTGTTGAAGGGTCGGTGTATGTCGAGGGGATGATCGTGATTGTGACACACGAGAGTTCTCACGCGAAAATAAATTCGCAGAGTGAGTGAGCGAGGTCCGAGTGTTTTCCCGAGAGCGACTTGAATAATTGGGGTGCGATGTGAGTAGAGGTTGTGAGAGAGACGAGTTCGTCGACGATTGGAGAGACGTGGGATGATAAGGACGATATTGTGGAGATGATGGAGAATACGGTGGTGAATTACTAGACCACCACATCCGGTTATAGGAAGGGATTGGTGGGTTAAAGGTGTTGTATTCAATGTGTCGGTGCACATCTGGCGCGCTCGGTCTAGATATCGGCGAAGAATCAGCCTCGCTTCGTTCAATCCCATTGTCATCATTAACAACATGGTGAGGTTCGGAGGTCGGCTCTCCCCATTCTTCGTAAGATGTAGTTTCAGGTACGGGAGTATGCGAATCATTCTCACTCCTATTTTCCAAACCCACCGTTGATTCAATCTCGTTTTCGTTTTCCGAATCACCTTGCCGATTGCTGTCAGGATCACTTTCGAGATCACTACTGCTATAGATGTTATCGCCCGCCGTTGTGTCGAGATAGCCATCTTCAAATTCGGTCTCTAGATGATCGAATCTGACATTTGAAACCCCGTGCACCAATGCCGTCGTATTCGCGATATCGACATCGGGAACATCATCATTATTATCCATATCATTTGGAAATTGACGATATTGATCACGCGACTGGTTAGAACGGTTTGAGCCCGTTACGTGCTGAAGAGGGCATTCCCATGCTGATCTGCTTTCTGGTGCAACCTTAATAGTGGAAGTCGAGATAAAACACGCAGACCAACCCCTGTCACAAAATTTTAATTTCACCCATGAATGAACATCAAATTTTTCTTGAAGAGGGAATGAGATAACCGAAGATCCAGATACACTTACCATTGACGAGACACATCTCGGGAGATCACTGTCTCGCCAGTTCGAACATTCCAAATTCGACAAGAGGAATCAATACTACATGAAACCAAGAAATTTCCACATGGGCTAAATGATATATTGGGAATGTTGTGAGAATGGCCAACTAATGAGTAATGTGGCACGTCACCCAGATCGACTACATCAGAAAATCTACGTAACACCGCAGATGCGGATGATCTCGGTGATCCTTTATGACCATTTGCGTCTTCAGACAAATCCATATTAGCTTTTAGATTATAAATCGTGATATCATGTGAATTAGAACTCACAGCTAATAATCTATTTGGGCCTTGTAACGCTATACCCCATGTAGACTCATCGTTACTAAGTTAATTGATGCGAAGAAGTTAGATTTCAATATTGCGTACACATGAGTGTCATGGATACCACAATCGTACCTAAGGAGAATTGGCCTTCGATCAAGATCAGAAGTATACCACATGCCTACCCCACCAGAATCATCAACGCATACCAGCACCTCCTCTTTCCCTATCATCCCAACCTTAATGGCATTAATTGTGTGACTCTAGGTAGACCGAGAAAATGAAGAAAAGAAAATAGGACAATCGTGTTACAGATGAGCGAAGCATTGTATTAAATCAATTGACCTATGCCAGACCGACGATTACCTCCGAATCGTTCCAATCCCGTCCAAGTTTTTTGATCGGTTCCTTTGGTTCTCTCGTTGATGCATTTTCTTCCAACTCTTCAAATTGACTTAAGGAATACACGAAAATTACATCATCGACTGCCACAAATAGTGTTTCTCGATCCCGGTTTGATACCGCCGTCAGGTTCATTCGCTATAGTGCGAATGCAATTTAGCAAATCCCATGTAAACGTTCCAGGAAGTGAAAGTAGTGGTATCGGAGAGATATAGGCGCACATCATAATAGAATTCATTAATTACCATATGGCAAAATCCCTGCACACCAAGATTCTCTCTTTTATAAATGGGATCCACCTGCCCGGAAGAACGAGGATTGGTTGGTTAGAAGGAAGGAAATGGGAGAAGAAGGAAGAATTCACCCCCTGATCCAACTATATTTACCACTAGCTCATCGTGGGTTCTCATCTCTATTGCAATTTTAAATTATCCTATTATAATGAAATATGTGGTCGCGAGGCTCCATGTGAAAATTCAAATAATTCATTTACCACTATCGCCACTATCACACTGTGTGACCTTGTAACCCGCAACTTAAGGGTAGACGTAATCCTTTGAATTTACTTAAAGAATCACCTACGTTTTATTATTGGCAAGAGTTTCATTGAAATTAATAAGAAATGTGTAGGCAACAAACAGCTGCTAAATCTGTTAAACCTCTCCGAAATCATTTATTACACTCCATACAATGCTTTTCTCCCCGAATGTTTTAAACTATCGTACGTGATTTTTTTTTTTTTTAATAGATCAAAAACGTGGTAATGCTAATATCCAATGGTGGTTATCAATGCGCCTCGTCCAGAGCCACGACTGTTTCACCTTAACTTTTTTTAAACCTACCTTCGGTTGACAGCCTACCCAACGAGAATAAAAAATTTAATTTTTTCTCAGCCGAACGCCAAAGAAAAAAAAAAACGTTGAAGAGAAAAACCACACACACCAACACCATCTTTACGTATACTCGTGATCAACCGACCAATGAGGTACAATTGTGGCAAATGATAATTTTATTTTCGGACAGTGGCGCAGCGTCGACAAAATTATCATCATATTCATATAATTGAATTATTAATTACGTGTGACATTCTACTTTGTTATTTTCTAACATCAAGTGACAACAATTTGCAGCATAAAGACAAAGATTCGGGATTTTTAGCCCAACGATCGGATTATATCAATGAGACCTTCGTTCGAACAAGACCGCCTCTGAAATTTTTTATGGGCTGCGGATCCATCTGCAACCTTCTAAACGCCTCGTGAATATGTGAAGGTCTCAAGGCCGTTTGTTCCGGAGGTGGTTGGGAAAATAAGTAGACATTTTCGCCAAAGTTCCTGGAATTCTCGCGTGGACGTTTAATACCCTTATGAACCCTCTGCTCCTTGTCCAGATCTTGTTTGACGCGAAGCGCGGTCTCGGTGAGCTTGCTGACCATCTCGAATGTTAAAAATCCTAAAATGTCAATAATATCATCATTCGGTTTCATGTCGATGTAAGCCGACATGTTTGCCCATTCTCGAAAGCGTTTGGCTTTCCTGTATGTAAATGAGGCCTGACGGCATTCGGAATAGTGAACGTATTCTTCTCTCGTCATGGCCCTGGTGATCTCGTCGGCATCCTGGCGGTAAAATTTGGTGATTGATTAACACGAATTTCATGTGACGCGACGAGTGTACCCACCTTTAACCGTTGAATCGAGTCATTGTAGGCCTCCAACTCCTCTTCGTCGTCCTCATCCGAGTCCGCATTCAGGAATTCCGAAAATGAGTTCACCAACTCCCAAGATAATTTTACTTTCATCTTACGTGCCTTCGCTATAATCAAATATTTGTATTAGCGTTTCGAAGAACGTGGAATGGCGATGTGCTCTGAAAATTTAAGAAATTAATTGTAAAGTGCCTGCGTTCGGTTCCTCCATGATTTCTTCGGTGGCATCGTTACCGTTGGTGTCTTTGGCATTTTTACGCACGTCCTTCCAACTCAGATACGTACGTAGACGATTCACCTTTGCGCGATCATGCCTAATTAAGAAGATCAAATCCTCCGCGCTCATATAACGTGATCCACGTTTTGCGGCCTGAGCCGCAGCCTGTATGATCTATCGCGAAGGAGAGAAGAGGGCATTCATTAGCGAACGACACAGCTTCGAAGAATGTTGTCATGTTCGGGATTACAATTAAAAAAAAAAAAAAAAAAAAATTACGAGAGACTTGCAATTTCGATAACTTGCGACCTAACGATGTCCTCCACAAGCATAATGGTCTCCGGTAATGGATCGGAGACTTCTCCGAAGACAAACATCATTTGTTGAATTTCCGAAGAATAACGATACTTCGACTTATCCTTATCCTGCCGTAACGAAAGGAGTCATAGGAAATTTGGTTTTATTGAATGTCGTGTTTACAAGGTTAAGCTCTCCTGTGTTCGAAACGAATGAGGAAATACCGAAAAGGCCTTCGGATCCTTGACATCCTTGGCTTTGTCTGCCACCACTGCTTTCTGATTTTGATTCATGGCGACGAAGTGGAATGATGATGGTATTATTAACGTCGCACAAACGATGAGGGATTCCCCTTATAGTCTTGTGTCACTCAAAACACCAAGGTTACATCATGCAAAAAAATCACGCTACCGATTAAGCACTCGAAAGAAAGGTCACGGCAAAAGTCTGAATTTCCGCTTCGGGGAAGTACTCAGGTAAGCATAGCATTACACGATTTCCTTATGGCGTCGCATGGTGTTAGGACTTACGATTGATTGGTCCTGTTATTAATTCAACGTGTGCATCCAAAATTCACTGGTGTCCTATAGGCAGGTCACATGTTGACACACACGTTCCTTCTAATAATAGAAACAAATTTGTTACAAGAAATTTATCAGCATATACACAGCATCAATTTATGCATCATGAAATTAATACCCAACCATATATAGTGTACCAATGTAGCTTTTTTCTAATTTATTTATTTATTCTACTCGACGGATCTTTTATTGTTTCAATCCCCGTTCAATCGACATGAAGTAATCATTAGTTCGTTTGTTTTTTTTTCTGACCTATTAGAATGATGACCGAACATCCTTCTTCATTTAGCATTCTTATTTCCAAAAATGAAATTAGACGTTTACAAATTTGTATCACCACAGACCAGATATATATTACGCTCGCATTCAACAAACGAACAGTTGTCATTCCGTTATACTCTTGATTGTTGTCGTTCGCTTACCCCATCGTCGTTCATTAAAATCTTCCAACACTCCTTACTTTTGTCATCACCCTAACCGTGCGTCACTCTTTCGGCGTCCAAAAAAGAACTCAGTCGAAAACAAGGGAAGAATTATCCGCATGATGTCAAAAGGCGTCCTCGTGGTTCTTTTCATTATTGCACTTGCAATTACGATATTAGATGCTTCACCGCTTCCCAATGATTTCAGACTAAGGAAACGGCAAATTAGCAATGATACCTCAACATCGGCGACCAAGTAAGTATTTTTTTTTTTCATAATCACAGCGAGAAGTTTAAATAAAAGGATTGTTAAAAAGAAACACGAAAGCTGATTTGCACTTTACTATCGAAGCCTCGTTCAAATTGCCGCAATACCAACTCCGAGTTCGAATCCCAAGTGCGTACTATTACAACGACTACTTGATTCATCCTGATTTCTCGTTTTCTGCCTTCAAATTCCTTATGTAATTTTTTTTTTTTAATTCAGCCCCCCCCCACCACCTCCTCCTGTTTTGTCAACCCCGGTGGCTCAAGACATGTAAGTGTACTCTCTAACATGTGAGCGATGGAATCTATTCCTCTAACCATTTTCTCGCCTCCTGTAGACCGAGTTCAACGCCGGCAGTGACCAACCAAGACAACTCCCCTTCCCCCTCCAACACCCAATCTTCGAGTGATAATAGCAACAACAACTCTTCCAACAACAACAATTCTAACAACAACAACAACAACTCTAACAACAACAACAATAATAATAACAATTCTAACAACAACAACAACAATTCCAACAACAACAACTCCAACAACAACAATTCCAACAACAACAACTCCAACAACAACAATTCCAACAACAACAACTCTAATAACAACAATTCCAACAACAACAACTCTAATAACAACAATTCCAACAACAACAACAACTCTAACAACAACAACAACTCTAACAACAACAATTCCAACAACAACAACTCTTCCAATAACAACAACAATTCTTCCAATAACAATAATAATAATAACAGCAACAACAACAACAACAACAGCAACAACAATAACAATAACAATAATAGCAATAACAAAAACAATAATAATAGCAACAACAACAATCAATCCTCCGACTCTTCTCAAAACAATTCCTCGAACAACTCCACCACAAATGGTAATTCCAATAATAATTCTGGAGGAAAGCTCAAAACCACTTCTATAACTAGTGTTATTGCAGCTACCACCCGACAGATCACCACCACCGATGCTAGCGGTCATACATCGGTGTTCGAACAGGTGATCCCCCCCAGCACTGTAGTGGTCGGGGCCGTGATTACTGGCCAGTCCAATGATACTTCGGATAATAACAATGGTGCTGGGCAAACAAGCATTGCCATTGGTCTAAGTTTTCTGGTCACTCTCTCTAGCATGATCTATATGATTCTGGGATAATCAAGTGCTAGTGTAATAATAATAATAAAAAAAAAACTTACCGTGTTAGTTGAGATGAAGTAACAATGGAAGGAGTATTAAGAGAATCGGTCTTCATCCGAAGATCAAGGTACTTGTTTTTATTAAAAAAAAAAAAAAAACAGAAAAAATCAATACCCTACATTTTGCACGATTCAAAATTATTATTAGAAATTTTCCTTGACGACTCGACACAAAATTATTTAAAATGTATAGTTTTTTTTTTTTTTTTTGGAAGGGTGATGAATTTTCGGGAAATGGAAGGCTACACAAGATCCTTGTTTCCTAATCTTAACGCCAAATTAAATTGCATTTCTCGTGTTTCCAATAATAATCAATACAAACATGCCACCTACTGTATTTAATATAAACAATGATAGCATTAAAAAAAAAAAAAAAAAAATCAAATCAAATCAAATATAGAAACGAAATCTTGTGTCGTATGTACACGTCACTCCTCTTGATTGGTTTCCCGTTAAGGGAAGAATGAATGACAGGATATGTACAGTATATAAGAGAAGAACGATGGATTTATCGGTGTCAGGGAGATTGTTTTTTTTTTTAAAAAAAAAACCTTTGAATAGGTCACGGCGCCTTGGTTTCATGATACAAAATAAGTTTACAAGTTATTATCGTGTAAAACCGGATGTCATCAGTGTGAAATGATCGGTTTTTTTTTTTTGACACAAAATTAATCGGATGGGCTTTCGCGTCATCAATCGAGAATATTCAGTGGTGCTCAAATAAATTTAAATTATTAATAATGCAGCACGCACTGTATCATTTTTATACAACAAAGATATTACGCACGCCACGCTACAGTAGAAGGCATTGAGCGATCTTTAGAATAAATACACTTTGGTTGTGCCCCTGACGATCAAACCCATTGCATGCGCCCACCACAGAATCACGTTCATAGCAAGTTGCTTCGCCTTTCGGAAAAGCAGAGGAAACGCAACATAACAATTTAACCATCAATTGTAGAACTGATTGATCAAATTCCAATCCGGTTGAAACGCATATTTCTTTTAAATTCCCATGTTTGTTCAACAACTTTATCTGGAATTTGTGCACACGCGTTTTGGTTCTGGTTTGCGGGAAAAGTTCAAATCATTGTGTCAAAGTTGTACACATGCGCATCCATTTCATTAGGCTAAAAATTCATATACACTTAATCGGAAATCGCTTTCCCTATTAAAAAATGTTTGCGGAATTTAACTTTGTGTGTGCGGACAAATTTAATCAATCGGTGTTTGTACACCGAATATTGCCTATAACGGCATTGGTTAGCCTGTGCAGTAAAACATACTTCGTGCGCATTATAAATACAACAACTTTCTTTCGTAACCTTGTTTTCTTCAGGGTCAGAATGTGGAGCAACGCTAATTCAATTTCAAATACCGCCGTTGCCACTAGCACTATTAAAACGAAAAAGAAAAAGAGAAACCAAAAACTGCGACAGGATGCTAGCGAAAAGCATAAAACCGTTGCTTTCGCCGCCACCGCAAATTTAGAAAAGGCCATTCGGCAGACAAGAGAGAAAGTCGCAAAGGTGATCGCTCATTACTTCGGAAAATTATCTCCGTCACGTGAATTTCAACTAATGACCAACCAATATTGCACAGATCGCCCAAGAACATAAAGCGCAGAACCGCAAATTCCGTGATCGAGAATTCGACCTCTTCGTGAATAAAAGTGATTGCCTTTACAGTGTCGGCAAGGAAAGCTACACTTGCACCGATGTTAAGCGAGTGTCGTCGTTGTATAAGAAACCACAATTTTTCATTGATGGGGTTGAACCGAATGACATTAAACAAGGAGCGGTCGGTGATTGTTGGTTCGTGGCCTCACTGGCAGTGATCACGAATATTCCAAGTCTACTGGAAACAATCTGTGTCGCGAGGGATGAGGAAGTTGGCGTCTATGGATTTATCTTTTTTAAGGTAATCGAGGGTTAGCATTCTGTCGGAAGATTGGAAACGCAAAGAGTACCGAACAGACTCACAAACTATCTATTTATTTGACAAGGATGGTGATTGGGTTTCGACAGTTGTGGATGATCAACTTTTCGTCCAAGGAAAAGATAACAAAGACCGTTGGAAGTTAACTTTCGCGTGAATATTATTTATGTTTCTTATCTGACATCATTTGCGCTTTGATTTCAAAAAGAAAGCATTTCACACCGACACCCGTATAATTAGTTAATCCTGTTTTCGATATTCAAAAAAAAAAAAAAAAAAAAAAAAAAAATTCTTCACAGGCAATGCTCCAATGAGAATGAGACATGGTTGCCTTTGCTCGAAAAAGCGTATGCCAAAATTCACGGCGATTACGAAAGTATCAGTGGTGGCTACACGGGTCAAGGTATCTATCTATCTATGCGTGGCATATATTGATTTCAAAGATTGTGGGAACACCTTGAATGACAAACATGACAACACTTGATGCACAGGAATCGAAGACTTAACGGGAGGAGTGTACACCACTACATTTGTATCCGACATTTTAGACAAAGAAAGATTCTGGAATGAAGAGTTGAAGAATGTCAACGATAATACGCTGTTCGCCTGTGCTCGTTACAATGACAATAATATTGAACCCAAAGGGACCATATCCGGCCATGCCTATAGTATTTTACGCGTCGCAGAAATTGAGGATGGCATTAAATTAGTGTTGGTTCGAAATCCATGGGGAGGAACCGAGTGGACCGGTACATTTCTTTCTTTCTTTTCAAAAGGACGTTTAGTCCGACGTCTAACCATCACGACCCAAATATTCTCACGATAAAACCAGGTGCGTGGAGTGACGGTAGCAAGGAGTGGACCTCCGAACGCATGAAGATCCTAAATCATCGATTCGGGGATGATGGTGCGTTCTGGATGTGTTACGAAGATTTCTTGGAATATTGGAACGAAATTGATAAGTGCAGGTTGTTCGATTCAAGTTGGACGGTCTATTCGACTTGGATCAACTATAACGTGGTCCCCAAATCCAATGGAAAATTTACTCTCACGATTCCTGAGAAGTGTGATGTGGTAATCGTGCTTCAACAACCTGACGACCGATATTTTAGCGACCCGCCAAAGTTTGAGTATGTAAATCTTGATTTTCACTTACGAAATAGGGATAACACGAGTTTCTGCATATTTTTTTTTTTTTTCAATCATCGTTCATCCCCTCCAAATAGATACCAACTCAGCTTCCGCATATATGAAAAAGGAAATAGCACTTATCTTACCAGAAGTCGCCTGACGGTTCCATACGGTCCTCGAAGCGTCAATCACGAGGTAGAATTGCCCGCCGGTACATATGAAATCATTCCCCACATATATCGCGAACCAATTGTTGAATCGGAAAATCCGTCCAATACGTCTACCGATCCGTCAGAATCCGATGAGTTAAAATTGTTGTCCAAGAGACGCAAGGAAAGTCGAGCCAGAAGGCTTGCGGATGGAAAAGACATGAATGACGACTCCGATGAAGAAGAGGAAGAAGAAAAGGAGGGGACCGGGGATAAATGGGAAATGTCGCTCGGTCTTCGAGTGTATTCGAAGAATAAAGGATTAACTTTGGAGGGCGAACCCGGAGAGTTTCCCAGAAAAGATGAGAAGAATAAGGATGATGCTGATCCGGAAGCTGATACCAGGGCCACTGAGGGGGGAGGGGATGTTGAAGCTGATGCAAAAGAAGGCGAAGAAAAGAAAGCTGACGTGGAAGAGAGTAATGAAGACAAGAAAGAAGAGGTGGAACGATGATGACTTCTTCCCCTTCTATTTCGAGCGGAATTTTAATAAATATTTCGATGCATACTCATATTGGCATTTTTGTACAAACCATCTGTTTCCGGGCACGGAGTTTTTTTTTACATAAATTTATCATTAGAAAAAAATTTCTTAGGTGATAAACACGAGATATTTAAAAATTCATGTAAACAGCGTCTTCGATGGCATCAATACATAAAATATCAGCACATGGTCATTTAAATTAAAATTTTAGCAGTGCCGTGTTCATCCGGCACCACTTGCTTTGTTTGTTTTTTTTTTTTTTGTCTTTTCTTTGTTTACAAGTAATAACCGCGCGTTTCGCGGAGATTTTGCCAATGCCCGTGATTACAAAATAATTTATCAATTTACACATTCACGGGAGACAATAAAATTTTGTTTGTGTTTAGATGATTGTTATTATTAGGAGATAAGACGGTTGTCAACTTGACGCGAAAACCCCAAACATCACGGCAGCTCCCACCACGATAATCGTCAGCCAACCTATGAATATGGAAAAGATGATCCTTCTCTTTGTGAAGAATCGTTCTATCAATCAACAAGAATGTTGTGAGAAACATTGAAAGATTGATCAACTCTTTAAAAATTGCAAAGTACAAATTCTTCTTACTTTTACGGTTCCCAGATTCCTAGTAATTTATCAAGAAAACGATGGCAGCAGTGAGTCTAGTGCTTAACGTCATGACAACACAAAGATATCTATTCGCTAACATGCTTACCTCTACCAAGAAGGGATCGGAGGAATCGCACACAATAGTTGATTTTTAGGATGGAAACGAGTTAACAATCAAGTGAGATTTTTTTTTTTTTTTTATCAAAAAAAAAAAAAAAAAAAAGGCGAAACAATGAATCATCGTTTCATCAACAGTAAAGCTAGATGACGGGAAGAGAAGAAAAACGGAACTCACCATCGGCCAAAGAATAGATCATGGAGTCCGTCGGGTAGGAGGTGACATCGGCGGCAGAAAAGTACACACTTTTTAACCCACTACCGCTTCCCGTTCCACTATTCAGGCCAACGCTTGGTACATAAGTTATATCTCTTTTTTGATCATTTTTTTCATCATACCCTTTATTAATCTCTTTAATATCTATGCAGCAATGATCGTTTTTCCCTTTAACCCTCTCCTCAATCTCGCTCATGCTCCTTTCCTTCACATCTTTCTCACCGCCATCACAAACGCGCACACTCGCACCCACCGCCTCTATCCCACCCAACCTTGTTAACACTTCGTCAACGCTTGGTCTCGCCGTTGGATTCATCTGCCAGCATTGTTGATACAATGCAACGTATTCCGAAGGTGTGCCAAATATTGGTTGCTGCCTATAACCTTCGCGGACGATCTTCGGTGAGAGCTCGGGAAGGTACGATATACTTGAATCTGGAAGGTTCGTGGAAGGCGAAATTTGATTAATCTTTGGAGGTCTTCTGTGCGAAAGTAAATCAAGATTACCACATCCATTTCCAATCACCTTTTTCACCACCACTCCTAGATTCACCTGCAACCTCGCTTTTCACCAGGTACTCATCGTACGGAATTCGTCCGCTTGAGATTTCGTGCATCAATATGCCCAGTGCGTAAACGTCAGACTGTTTGTTTTGTTGGTAGTTCGCGGAGTCAGCTAGGTATTGTGGATCGGTGTACGGTAGTATCAAATGAGGGGCGGAAATGTGAGATTTTGAAATTCCAAGATCGGAAATTAGGAGTTTGTAGTTGTGGTGTAAAATGTTTTGGGAGTGCTATTCGGGGATGAAAGTGGGATGATTATTTACTTTGACGCATGTAAGCGAAGCGCTCTTCTCAAAGAGTTCACTCACCAAAGCGAGATGAAGAATATCGTGGTCATGAATATATTTCAACCCGTTCGCCAAATCCGTGCAAAATCTCAGCTTTTCATTCCACGTGAGTACCGTGTAATGCTCGCGGAGAAACTTTCGCAAGTTTCCCCCGTTGGCATATTGCACCACTAGGAAGTGGTTCGAGTTGCTCGGATCTAGGATGCGCGTATTTAATGGAAGGCGAAAAGCCGGTAGGGCACGGGTGAGGAAACTTATTGTAAATCGAGAGAGAGATTTGCATATTCATCGCTTACCTATTGTGTACCCAAAGATCCTTAGTAGATTTTGATGACAACTTAATTTGTGCAAGAGGTTTATCTTTTCAAATGCAAATTCGTGAGCGTGTGAATGGCACCGAAGAAAAATAGAAATGGACGCGGGATTCGCAAATGCTCACATTTTCCAAGACTTCCAGATCCTCACTGTTCAATTTATCCCCGTGATGATCAAAGGCGTTCAGCGACTCCACCTTCTTTAACGCCACCTCCTCTTCCTTCTCAGATTCGTCCTTCCAATAGGCTTTCAGTATCTTGACCTTTTTCTTTCGTTTCCTGCCACCTTCACCCTTACTTTTGTGCGTGGATTTTTCTCTCTTAAAAAAATCCTTCGACTTTTTTTTACTCTTTATCGCATCGTTACTGTTAGCGACAACTTGAATGTAGTCGTAAATGTCGTTGGTGATGCTCTTGAGGGATTGATAGTTTATGAAATTTATCTCCTCCGAGGATATATCATCACCATTCATTGAAGTTATCGAGAGGTGCGACGATGAGTTATCGATTTGCGCTGTTTCCACTTGGATTCGTAGAGAAATAGTGGAAATCCTTATTTTGCTGTTATGAAATTTTTCATTATTATCGGATTCACCTTCACTCTCCCCGCACTTCTCCTCGCTCTCAGTTTCCATGCAACCGGCATTTTCATTCTCATTAAATATCGAAGACGAGGCGGTCGTGCTCAATCCCGATTCTTCAACGGTCGGTGTGTAGTCCGACAAAGAATTCGAGAGACTTGAAAGCGATAGGTCATTAGAATCAAGGGTAGACATTACTCAAAGAAAGAATAGAAGAAATTTTTAATCGCGGAATGGTTTCTGTTTTATCTCAAAGATTGATGATGTATTGATGTTTGTTCATGAATTCGCTTCTTGATTTCCCGATGTTTTTTAAAACATTATTGGGTAAAACGATTTTTAGAAAAAGTTCGTTTAATCGGAAAAGTCGTATTTTCGTTTTTCCGAACCTATTAAAAACTCAGTGGATAAAGGAAACAACAGAATCAATCTGATAGTGACTGAATGAACGGAGACAATGGAGAGGAAAAGGAAAGGGAAGAAAAAACGTTTTATGAGAGGGGGGAGGTTAAATTCATGAGACAATGAGGAATTGGAAAAAATGCTCGACGAGATACGTACGGATAATAAATAAGATAATGATGAACAAAAAAGGGAAACAAGAAATTTACAATATATAAATTTATATACGGTACTATCTTATGATTATTTATTTTTTCGCAATTATGTAAGTAGCGAATATGGATGGAGTCATGAGGAAAACCAATGGAAAAAAGTACGCACTCAAGTATTATGTGTGTTATCGGTCACTGTACTGATGTCGTCGTACTTCATTCACTTTACGGGTACGCATGTACGGTGCGTTTAAACTCGCATCAGGCGGATTCTTTCAGAGTGGAGCAAATGCACAGGGAATTCAATACTGCCTCTAATTTTATTGTTATCTTGTTGTCACGTTACGCAATGCAAATTTGCGTTTCCGAAGAAAAGAAAGAAAAAAAAAAAAAAAAAAAAATTTTTTTTTTCCTGAAAAAAATGATGTTTCTTTATTTTATTTCTTTCGACCAAATTTTTTGTTGGTAAAATGATGTGACCTTGGATTTTCCCAAATTTCTTTGTTGTCGGTCAACTCAAACTCAAACTTACCATCGTTATACGCTGGTCATGCTCGGACCAAATAATATAGTGGAATGGGTTTCCAGAGATTCGCCAAGAGGTAGTACACGCAGATGTGCATACCGATTTAAAAAGAAAAGGTGATTAAAAGAGGGAATAACAACAATTTTTTGATTTTACCATAGTGCTCTTGTTAATCCAAGGTACACGCGCATACTGTAAATATCAATAAATGTTGTTCACAGTTCACAGGCAGCTCGAGACGTTGATTGGTTTGCGTTGGTGCAAGCATAGTAAATGAGAATGAGAAAACTTTTTTTTTTTTCTTTCTCGCAACCTATCACGAGACGCCAGGCGGAATAATAAGAAAAATTCGGGTGATTCAATTTCACGGACATTCTCGAAGCCCTTTAAGTTGGGATGCCTATGCACGACGAAAATTTAGCGTACATGCGCACGAAGATCATTGTTGTTGTTAACCGTGTTTGGTGATCCTTGCAATTAAAAATCCTTGTCATCTCTGATAGGTCGCAAGGCCTTGATAATTCCGTTAGACTCCATCCACGAACGGAGTACACGTCGAGAGTGACACGGTGATACTAAGATAATCAAGGGAAAAAAAAAGAACGATTCACCATGCAATAAATAGAAACGCATCACACACGTAGGTGAAATCAATTGTTGGCGACCTATCGCTCAATGCTTGCTTCATCTAGACGGAAGGCATGATAGGGATGATGATGCAACGATTGAACAAATTACAAGAAGACATGGAATGCGACTAATGGTTGAAACCTATGTTGCTCAAATTATAAAAACATGCACAAATTTCAGGCAGAAAATCTAAAATGGAAGACAGCGTCGAGTATTGGCGTCTCAGATACTTCTTAAATCGTGAGCACAAGGCATTATAATTAGAAATCGTGGGATAAAACGGCGCGTTTCTCCATTCTAACGTTAGCAAGCAATCGCGTGTGTACGACTTCAGCGATGTGCGAATTGGGAAATTACAATTTGTACATGAACATTCGCCAATATAGATAAATTAATTAAATCCTTCGTATCTAGTTTCAAAACGATTTCTTTCCTTTATATGTATAAATAATTTCTTTTAATTTTGCCATTATTGATTTTCATTTATTAGTTTTATTTGTATTAATTACGGTTGGGTGAGGGGGTTCGCCTTTGAGTACGTCACGTACGTCGTACGTACAAATGCATAAAATTCAGAGATGCCTCTTAATTGGTATTAACTACCAAATGCGTGTTATACTAAACTCGAAACGTTTGCATTACAAAATTCCTTGGTGTCACAAAGGACGCATTCACAGTAACGCAATAAATCACCCGTCCACTTTGGAAAAAAAAAAACGAGTTTCTGCGGGCATCTGTACATGAAGTATGCGAGTATGTGTTATTCGCAAAATAATTAACAATGGTTCCATTAATTAGAAAGGTTCCAGTTGTTTCAAAGTTTGCTACGGTATGTGCATTAATTATAAACATAAAATCTTAATTACGCAGGTGCACTTAAAAATGAACGAACATTTAATTTAAGAAATGAAAATAAGCGAAAATAAACGCACGAGATGAATAAACTACTTTAAATTACAGTATCTCGAGTTTTTTTAAAGTTCATGACATTTCGAAATTTCATAAAACGATCAATCTAAAAAAAAAGAGAGAGAAAGAAAATAGATAACATATAATAGTGAAAAAGATACTTAAAAATCTTATAACCGAAAAAAAAAACTCCCAATAATAAAATATGATCTACTATTAAACAATAGCATCCTGTTATACAGCATATATTGTAAAAAGAAATGTCATAGAAAAGATTTTATCAAAAAATCGATTGATTAAAAGAAATAACATTAATTTATAGAATTCGAATCAATTTTTGTCGGGCTAGTTAGGTGTGCTTTATCAAATATTTGTAAACTGTACATATAAAATGTGACGCTAAAACCAAATCTTTAACTAACTTACTTGTCATGGTTATTATCACTTTAAGCACAACTTTGAAAATGATTATTGCTCTATTAGTAGTTCAGGTTTGCGAAAATTCTTCCAGCTTTTAATATCATTGCCTATAGATTATCACTGCAAATTACTCTTGTTAAAATCTTCTTCAGTTCTTCTTTTCAAATCTTTCTTTTTCAAGTGTCGATGCTTTTGTGATCACAATATTGGCTTTCTGACTAGGCGAACTTGAGAATTTTCTTCTTGTCATTATAAATTCCTTGTACTTACTGTATTTTCATTTAATTATCTTTTTATATCTTGTATTCCAGATTTTCTTTTAAAATTAATTACATACTTTTTTTTTATATCTTTGTTATCTATTTTCTTAACTTTTTTTTCAATTTTTCTTCTATAACATTTCAAATTAGCTATCTTCATATCAATTTTGCATAAACATTTGATATATTTTAACTGGTTTTTGAGATTTGTTTTATCAATCTAATTATTTCTTTATTCAATTCTTTTATTTTCTTTCTATTATTTATAATTAATTCAACATCTTTTTTACCTTACTTTTTCTCTTTTGTTAAAACTTTTTGAATTATTTAAAAACTTCTTTTAATTTTTTATTTCATGCTTCTTATATTTGATCCTTATACTGTAAATTGAATATTTTAATAAATATTTTATTATTTCTGCTTGTTGATTATATACAATATACAGTATTTTACTTGCTTATATAGAGTTGATTTTCTCATAAATAATCTACTTAGTATCAATAGTTTATCATTAATTAATTTAATGAAAAAACTTTTTCTTTAAAAGATTTTAAAAGCAATGTCTTGTATATATTTATTTTTCATTATTTTTTATATTAAATTCTATATATAATCTTATTAATTTTGAATTTGTTAACTTTACCTTTTTTTAATTTTATTTTACTATATTTATTAATAAATTTTATTTTATTATTCACTTCATAATACTGTATATTATATAACTCTTTCTACTAATCTTTTGACCATATACAAAAAAGACATTCACAAGAAGTTATTATACTTCTTTGCTAAAAAAGCCTTAATATTTTCCTTAAACCAACTTTAAAAGAAGCTTAAAAACCATCACTACACTTTCCTCCCTCTTAAAAACATTTCTCTTCACATAAAAACATGACTTTCATTAATCCAAGTCATGAAACACCTTCTTATCAACAGTAAGAAAGTTCTGAAAGAAAGAAGAACTAAAGTGCTTTGGTCCTCCCACTAAATAGAAAAATATCACAGAGCTGTGTTTATAATGAAAGACTTTTTAAAACACATCCACCCACTCTCTTGTCATAGTATTAGCTCTAATAGTACTCATTTTTTGATTTTTTTTGGAAAAATTTAAATACTTCTATTTGACCCTGAATTTTGAATAACATAAAATTTCTCACACAGTAAATGAATAAAAGAATACACATCAGTAAAAGAATATAAACAAGCTTTTATTGGTCATTTCATGTGTCTTAAATATATTTTCTCAGTTTCATAAAAACCCGAGAACCACCATAAGTCATTAGGTCTAGTACAAGTGAATACAGAACACATTTCTGCACAAGTCACTGACCATTATCAAAAAGAGTTCATCCAACTATAATAAAGGTTACAAGATGCTATATCTAGTTTTTTGAAAATACAGTTATCTATCTCTGACCACTAAATAGATTCTTTACTGCACTATTATACAAAAACAACAAGGATCAAAGAAAATGACCTATAAATTGACCTATCAATATCAATACATATGTTCCTATTCCAATCTTTTCTCATTTCTAAATAAGATTGAATTATCTCTTCTTCCTCTATATCTTCTGAGAAAGTGACTCAATAGTTTATTCTAAAAATTTTTTTCTTCCTACTGAGCATTAGTATTTTACTTCTATATATAATCTGCACTGATATTTTGGGAGCTTCCACGAGAGAACATAAGTCAGCTACTAAAGACAATGGCTAAAATTCCTATATTTTTTAAGAACCTAAGTAAAGGTATTTAAAACACAATTGATATTGTATAAAAATTATTGGGGGATCTGAAATATGATCAAATCATATACTGTTATTTCCACTATTATATATTAATAGGTATTTGACACTACTTGTGAAGTTTTAATGAATATTTTAAATAAAATTTTT